TAGCATAAAACTTTATATTAATAAACAATAATATCTCCAAAATAGGATAAAAACCCTGTGAAATTATTATTATTATCCTAAAAAACGTAGAAGAAAACATGTGAGAGGCTGTTTACACCGAAAACACAGAGCTTAGAACAGCCGAGCAGAGTCCAGTAAAGCAGTGCTGCAGAGTCATGGAGGAGCGGCTGCTGACCTGACAGGATGCGAGCATAAAAAGTGAAACGTGAGTGGGAAGTGTGCAGGGTCACAAGGCAGCACAGTTGTACACACTGTTGTTCTCACTGACAAATAAAGCAGCAGGCAGACAGCTAGTTTGGGGTGAAACAGGAAGCTGGCGCTTGTATTCCACAGCGACACAGGCCTTGGTCTACGACAGACAAATAACTCTTTATTTCGATAGTAATAAAAACAGAAGACTCTGAAACATTATTGTTCTGAACATTGAACCGTAGGGGAGTTTAAGAAGTAAAGCATATGTTAAGCTTTTAAGACAATAACCTTGTTTTACAAGTAGGATTTAAGTAAACTTAAAAAGGCTCCTGAAGGCAGTGAGTCCTCATTCAAAGCTGTTTTTATCCAGGAGTGATAACCTTGAATAAGTAGTAATGGGGACTTCCAGTCAAAGCAAAGGTGAAGTGAAAAATACATCTGTAAGGATACCTCTGTTGATGGCTTTAGATTTAATAAATAAAGCATTGAGCAAACTTGGGGGGAGACTAAATTAGGCTTTGATTTTTCCAAGAATCAGATGCAAATTTTGCATCAAGTCGTCTTCACACTTTTTTTCCTCAGTCTGTCACACATACCCCAAATCTGTTAACAGAGCACTGGAGGCTCTGCAGAGAGGGTGTCATGTTTTTTTTTTTTTCTTCTTCTTTTTGGGCCCAGATGGCAGCTTTGGCTGAGTCAGCATTGATTGGTGGGCGATGGAAAACTGGACGATTCGATGTCGGTTAGGGGATGAAAGACGGCACAATGCGCCAACCGTGAATGGATCCCAGGACACATAGTATTTAAAACCCAATTAATCTTTTGACATTTTGTGATGTTATAGCCACAAACCTAAATGTGTTGTTCTGGGATTTTATGTTGCAGACTAATGAAAGGTAGTCTAAAACATGAAAGGGGGATATAAAACTAAACATATGGTTTTTAAAAGCATTCAAAAATTAAATAAAAATCCCAAATCTCAGCAAAAAAAGCTCAGTTAAATTGGACGGAAAAGTATCAAATTTCTCAAATGGATTTAGGTCTGAACCTTGACTTGACCATCGTAACACATTCCCTACTAGCTCTGTCTGGATGTTTAGGACTGTTATTGTTAGATGAATCTCTAATCATTTTTAAGTCAGACCATCTACCCTGTCCCCACCAAAGAAAAGCCTGTCCAAAGCATGACTCAGCCAACACCTTGTCTTCACCATAGGGATTGTGTATTCAGGGTAATGTGCAGGGTTGGTTCTCCACCACAAACTTCTCATCCAACCTAAAACTCTTTATAACTGTAGTCTCAACCGGGTTGGTGATGATTTTTTTTAAATTTTTTACTATTGCTCAGTAATAGATCTGTGAGGTCTTCACAGAAGAATAGAAGCGCCACACAGGTGGACCCTGTGAGGGGATGTTTTAAGACACTATGTTGCTCTGGATTTTATTCAGGGGGTCAAATCCTTTAACTTTAAATTAATAAATAACTTTGATCTGTTTTTTCTTTATTTTACTTCATAATTTTTTGGGTTTAACAACTCTAGAACTAGTTTTTTATTTGTTATACTCACCAAAGTAAGCTTTAGTGAGACTACATCCTATATAATTACAATTAGATTATGTAAATCTACAGTGAACATACACCTGTTAGCCATGCAATGGCAGGAAGTATAGAAATTCAAAATAGAATCACAGAATCACCTCATCCAGCAGCAAAATAGTAACACCTTTTTAAAAAAAAACTCATCCAACTTCACATTTTCTCTGTCAACTTCAATCTTAAGTTTTGAATCATATCACTAGTGATGCTAAAATGCAGCATAGATGGACTCCTGAAAATGAAAACTGCTGTTTCAAACACTCAGAATTTAGGAACAGCTAAACTGCAAATATCACATTTCGCTATCTACCCCCTTTGGCAGTTCAAAGTAGCAGATTTCAGTAGTAAGAAGACGTCTTTGTAATCTGAACCAAATTGCTGCAGTCAGAGCATTTCCCACATCAGAGGGAAGTATCAACACTAGCTGCTGGTCGTATATCATGTGCATGCTGGTTTCCCTCTCATGGAAGTGATGGCGAGTTGTTTTTGAATGATTTAAAGTAAAACTGCATAATATTTCCCTTGTTCTATTCTATACTTTGCATTATTTTCTTGTTTTTCTTTGTAGCAGCCAGGAGGCGGAAAAAAAATACTATAAGATATGGTGCACTGCAACAGAAAGGCTTTCCTGTGCAGGTAAAAGCCACAACGTGAAAAAATGCCACTGATCAACAGTTTGTGAGAGACCATATCCTGTTTTTCTGTAACAGTAGAAAGCTTTTTGCAGAGTGGAACACGAACTGTGAATCTTCACATTTCTAAAAGCCATCACTAACAGGACAAAGGCAACGTTAACAGCCGTGACACACGGCATTCAGTTCCTGCCAAAGCAAATTTGTAAATGACATGTTTTGGCATGTTTGAGAGGTCTTCAGTATCCTGTGGCTGTTTTGCATCCTATCTGTTCTGCTGCCCACAGGCCCCTGCATTCATTAGCAGCCCCGGACCATAAATGCTGAGAGACACAAATAGGCTAATCTGTCCAACGAACATGCAAAACACACCAACGTTTTCTAGCAGAGATCAGGTTCTTTCAGACCAGCTATTGTTCTGCTCTCTTAAAAGCACCCTGAATTCAGTTGGCATGCCAGAAATGCTGCTAATACAGCCTCCCAGCCCTATTCTGACTGAAACAACAACAGATACATACAAGCACCACACACACGGATGAGAAAACACACTCACATGCTGTTGTCAGTGAGGAGTGCAGCTGTTGCTGTTTGTCCTCTCAAAAGAGCGCCAGTTTAGCCCAGTGAAACTAGACAGAGACAAATTTAAAGAAACCTCACTGGCTTCAAAAGATGGCATCGGTTTGTGGTTTAAAAACAATGGTTAGTGTACAGGGCAAAGTTTCCACTTGACCTAGTTCCAGCACAATCAGACAGGCTAACTTTAAGCATCATCATCGCCTCAGAGAATAACTACTGGCCAGAGGCGCAGCCAGAAATTTTTTATAAGGGTGGCCAGGCAATAATCAATGTACACTGAGGGGTGGCCGAAAGCAGATAGGCACCAGAACCTCAGGGTCAATCTACACTGTTCCAACAGGAAAATAAACCAGCAACACATCCATATTTTCTAAATAAACACTTTTCTACAGCCTTTGCTAACAAACAGACGCATATATCTAAACATCTGTAATTTCTAGATAACACGTATAGAGGATAAAACTCAGTTTTTAGTTCTGGGCCGTGAATTTTTTCCATTGTCATTATTCACCTACTTGTATCAATAAACATTCTGCATTAAATTAATATTTACAAGCACTAATATCTACATGAGTTGATTATTTGATAAGTTTTTATTAAAATTGTTATTTATCTTTGATTTCACTGAAGACTCCTAGATGACTTGCAGAGACACATGATTTTCTCTTTACCCCATATAACACAAAATCTAGTTCTGAAAAGAGCATGAATTCTGTCCTTATCATCTTTGATGTTAGTATATTGATGTGTATAATTAACCACAAAAAAATGAAATGTTTTGAATATTCCACTTGAGAGTATTACTGCTGCCCCCATCTGTATTATAGGGGGAAAAAATGGTAGGGGTGGCCAATGATTGGCTAAAGGCTGATTTATAATTGGAAACTAGGTCGTCTGCGTAGGTGTGAACAAAAAGACGCCCCGCCCCCTCTGCAGACACTCTGCTGCACCTCTCCCAAATTGTAGGTTGCCGCAGACAGGAGGCTGGCTTTTTTGGTTTTTATGACCGCAATTGCGGAAAACAACTCGTGAAGTTGGACCATCTAGAAGAGCGAGGTGTGCTTTAACGCTGCGACCCTTTTTCCACCCGGATCCCCGCTCTTTTTTGCTGTCATGCCCCTCTGTTGTCGGACAAACTTGCCCCCACTTCCTCACTGCCTCGGCCGTAGCTAGCCCCACAGCATATAGCGCAGACCACACTCAAAATTGAGCATAAATCAAAAATGTCTGCATCAAGCTCACTGACACACACTGCTGCAGTAGTATAACCAGCCTTTTAGGGGGGCCAGGGGTGGCCATGGCCCCCCTAAAAGGCTGGTTCTAGCTCCGCCCCTGCTACTGGCTGCTTATTTATCCATCTGTCATTTAGACTTAGATTTATAAGTATAAATTAAAAGAAAATTCGTTTAGAACAGCTCTCTAGACACTTTCATTTAACTTTATTTTTTTATTTAATGCAGGAAAGAGATGCTGACAAATATGTCTACTCATTTATGACAGTCGTGTAGTCCAATAGTACAAAGTACTTCACTATAAACCACCTGCCTGGGAATGTATATGCAGGTTACGGTTGTAAAACACTACATGCTTGAGTCCACAAGTTTTTTCTTCCCACGTAGTCCAACTCAGACAGTCGAAACAAAGCTGTTTCGCTACCTAGCTAAAACCCCTCCAGTAGAAAGGTAGCTAAGTTTAAGCTAAGTTTGAGGGCTAACGGCTAGCAGAGAAGCGGTTTATATGCGGGAAAATAGGTCCTAGAAGGACACGGATAGGGATAAAAACCGGTCGTTTCAACTCTAAACTACGACATAACGACACCGCACCATTACCTCCTCCACCCACTGTGTAGTGGAAGTTGTCTAGCGCTTCACCATCCTCTGCGTGTGACCGTTTGACAGCCACTGATTTCCCACAGACTGATAACTTCTTTCTAACTGAAGTCAAGTTAAACCCTAAATAACAGAAAGTTTGGGGGAACTCACCTGTTGTTCCCACTGGGTAGTATGTTCTCAGAGGTAAGCAGAAAAGTGTGCAGTGTTCCCTGTTCAAGTTAAGGAGTTATACACTTGACAGACATCGACCTTTACAGCCCAGTGTGTCCCAGCAGTAACAGACAACAACTGAGGGGTTTCCTCCGCTCCCTCTGCTGGGACGCCGCGCAGAGATAAGCCCCGCCCCTCACTGCGGATTGGTCAGATTTGGGGACAGTGCAGATTAGGCCAATCAGAAGGAGCTTTTCATTTTGCCTGCCCAATGGCTACGGATTAAATCATGTGTTGATTAGAGTAGTCTGAAGAGGTTTAAGGAGCTTTATCTATGAGGGATAAAGGAAAGCTTTGATTATTATTAAGGTTAGTTGTAGTAGTAGTATTTTACATTCTCTATTATTTTGGATTTATTGCTATTTACATTGATTTAAAAGTCATAATGAAAATAAAATCATGCTGGATTTTTAATTGTAATGTACCTTAGTCTATTTTTTCTTGTTTTTCTTTTTTTTTTGGTGGTGGTGGTAGGGGGGTGTCATAATTGTATCATTCCTGGAATATCCTGGAGTTGATCTTCCTCTATAAGATACTATGACAAAACAATGAAAATTAAGGTTAGTTAATCTATTGTTTTCTTTTTGAATGATCAGTGACTAACATTTTAATCATGTTTTTCTTTTAATTCTTTAAAATGAATAAATATACAGAGGGAAAAACATATTATGTTTACTGTTACTCGTAATATAGCCAATGGCTTTGTGTCATGAGACAATATTGCTCTTTACTCAGGGCATCATAAGGTCAGGGGGTGGCAAGAGCAACAAAAACAAGTCTGTGGTAAGTGGGTGGCAAACTTTCTTGTTCGCATTATTAGAGCAATATAGCTATACACCACAGGAGACGATGTCCCAAAATGGGAGATAAGCATCTGTAGTTTCAACAGAATCTTAAGTGGGTTTGATCATCTCTTGTTCAAAATGTATACTACTTACACAGGTCCTATTTAAATTGCACAATGCAGCAATGCATCTATCGTTTAAGCAGAAAAAGAGCAATGTCTTTGTGCTATTTGAAAGGCAGGTAAACACACTAATTTCATTGTTTGAAAATCAAAACAACTGACATGTTTAACATTTTTTTATGAATGTTCTCTTAGGCACTAAATACTTAATATCACCATACTAATAGTCCATCCATCCATCCATCCAACCATCCATCCATCCATAGGAGTTGGCAGTCCATCACATAGACAGCCAGAGCAAACACCAATATAATCACACTATCACTCCTCAGGGTTTTCCCCAACTACTTTCAGGCTGCCTGTTAACATTTTCATTTTCCCTTTAAAAATGTCTCAGCTTTAAACCAAGACATTCTTTTATTTCAATACAAGGCTTAATGAAGCTGCCACGAACCATGGACAAGCCTTGAAAAGCTCATTGTTCTAAGGCACGCTCAGGGTGAGCTAACAGGGCTGGTTAGGTTTGATGTTACACAGCACATTACTATCCTCCTCTTGTATCAGTAATTGCTGTTATTTTGTTACAGAATCACTGAGAGTAAATCAAGACACAGAAATCAAGATGCAGATTTGATACAATTTGCATAACCAAAGCAGAGAAATATTTTTTCCAAGTACTGAATTACCTTTAATCTTTGGATTTGAAAAGGAGTAGATATTTCCAGGTTATAAACCTTCTAATACTGTCCAAACCTGACACCTGGCGGTGAGACCTTGTATTGTCACCATGTCCACTGCAGCAGTGGGATTCCTGCGACACTTTGTCAACTCAGATCAGAAATTTTCCTCACAAGCAAACACTGCAGAGAGATTAAGAGGAGAACAGCTTTTTTTTTTCTTTATCATTCATTCAACTCACTATGCAAAAAAAATGGCTGCAGGCGACTCAAGCAAGAACAACTACTTTATCAAAGCCACATGCAAAGTAGGGAAATTTACATCTAATGCCACCAGACAGATTGCCACAAAACTGTAAATTACTATTGTATTGTTGAATATATTGATGTGTGGTAAAACAACCATACAAAATAAATGAAAAATAAATACTAAAACTTATCTATATGCTATTCATAACAAAAGATGATGTCTAATGATTTAAACTGTACACAGGCTGAATTTAAGGGGAGTTAATGACAAGCTTCACCTCTAGGTGGCAGCAGCTCATCACTTGACTCTTTATAAGCATAACAAAAAAAAACAACAATATTTATTTAACTCTATGCAGTGGTTGGCTGTGCATTTCTGCATGTTTTGTTAGTGTTTTGTTTGATCCTATTTGATGATCACAGTGCAGCTGAGGGTGGAGTTGACAGCAAAGTCTCAGAGTATTTCAGGATTGTCTCTGTTAATTATATTAGACATAAAAAAAAGTGGTAGCAATTTGGATTCCTGTGTAAATAAGTCCTTAAATGTATTACCATACTGCTTTGTCTGGCCTTGCTGCTGCTTCATTATGCTTTATAAATAAAGTGCTATACAGTAAAATAAAAAAAAAGATTAGCAGCTAAAACAGTCAATATTCAACAGCACCACAGTTAGTCGCAATGATTGCTTTTCCTCAGCTTTACCTGGGCTGAATGTATTAAAAGTCATTAGCAGTAATAAACACTATGTGTTCATTTGAGGCGATTTTATGACAATGCTCTACAAGGGATTACCGTTCACTGTAATGCCTCTTGGCTTTAAACATTAAAAATGGTAGATTAAATTACTTTTTCTCATTTAAATTTGAATGTCTTTGTTGTAAGTGGGAAAATAGCATAGATGAACAGAGCAGCCTCGGGTTATGATGTTACTATCTTTCCTCACAGGCCATCATACAGATAATTAGTTAACATGACAGCACTAAGATGGATTTTAGAAGAATAGAATAGCAGCTGTTTTGGGATTTCAGTCATTTTCTTTCCTTTAGGCAAAACTATCTGCCTGCATGTTCCAGGGCACTTCCCAATCGTTTAATTGAACTTACTAAACAAACACTGTGTCCAGGACCACTGTAGACTGGCTACATTGCTCCAATAGTGCTTGGATTTTTATTAAGGTGCCAAGGTACGAAGATGAACCCCCCCGTGGGGCCAGCTCCCCTAAAGGTCCACACCTGTTCCTTTGAGGCCCATACTATCTAAACCTCAAACATGGCTAGAGATTCTCAGAGTCCCCCCAAAAAAACAGGGAGGAGCCCCAACAGGGCGGCCCTCTCCTGTTTGGAAGCTGTCTGGAATGTCTAGAATATACTGACCCACACTGACCCGTTGAAACAGCCAGAATCCAAAGCACCAGTCTGACAAAGCAGGTACACCAAGTCTCTAAACACTTACTGTCCGATTCAGCTTATTCTAAATTCTCTAACTCTTAACCCAGACACTATTTTATCACATCCTACTATCTTTACACAAAACCATGCCAAATCCAACCCTACCCCAGGTCATTAAAGGGGTGATAGAATGCAAAACCAAATTCATAGATGAATAACGATAGTTCAGTGGGGGAAATGGACGTACAGAGAAGTTCAAACCCCATCAACACCTCCTTTCTCTGCAAATCTCACAATTCTAAACTTCCACCATAAAAGGGGCGAATTCAAACAAAGCACCGAGTTGACATCAGTTCAGGATGAAGCCTTATTTGGTTCTGGCCTGTACTTTTGTCACGCCTCAAAACTGGCCTACAGAGCATCCCACTGGATCAGAAGATCCCTGCAAAGTTTGAAGCTCAGCTGTTCATTTGCTCTAAGCATTTTATTGAAGACAGCTTTCAAAATCTTGGACAGTTCAAAGCAGGATTTGCTAAACTTCTTTTACTGAAATAAGGGTCTGTTCCGACCGAAAGGCCATCACAACCACAAGCTGTAAGTATGATTCTGTCGCTAAGCTGTTGATAGCAATGCTAATATATATAGGGTGACCAGTTTTGGGTTTCTGAAAAGGAGGACAGTTTTTTTGGTGGTGGTGATGGGAGGGCTGCTGGGCCGCTGAGTGAACCAGACCGGGCTTTTCGAACCAAGCCTTCGGCTCCGGAGCTGGTCCGGGAACCCCGGCCGTGTGGGACGGAGTGACCAAACCTGACCCGGTAACGGTATGCTCCCCCCCCACCTGCCTTACCGGGCATGGTAAGGCAGGCGGGGGGAAGCATGTGTCCAGGCTACTGTCACTGGGTCTGGTTTGGTCGCTCCGTCCCCAGTCCTGACCAGCCACAGAGCTCATGGGTCGGTTCTGCTGCACTGTATCCTGGACGATTTTGAAATTTTTCCCCGGAAATTTTTTAGGTATGAAAGCGGAAAAAAGAGGACGTCTGGTCACCCTACCATATCAACAATTTCAATGTTTCAGTGAGTGAGTGCTTGTTGCTATGATGTGTCTTTGNCCTACCATATCAACACTTTCAATGTTTCAGTGAGTGAGTGCTTGTTGCTATGATGTGTCTTTGTTCAGCAGCTTCACACATTGTAAACCAACCAATCAGCACACAGCTCATCTAAATACTCATGAGCATACCATAAAAGGAAGATAACTTATTGTTTCATTCTAGGGCTTTTAACCAGGCTTGCATTAGGGCTCAAAGTTACAGCAAATATGCCATTTTCAGCCCAACCAATATTATACACACTCTACTCAGAGACTTTAAGGACCAGCACCAAATACCCTATATCATCATTCTATGACCTCTTTAAAGGTATAGTGGAGGTTGTTCTTTTTACAGGTGGATCATCAAAATAAGCGGTCCTCCTAATTGTCAATCATTCTTGTGATATGTTTACGTAAGGTCTTCCTATGCGCTGGTCCACATTTTCACTTACTCGTGGAAAGTTTGACATAGTGGAAACATTTAAATCTTCTTTTTGAAAGTAAACATGCTGTGATGCAAACAGCAACTTTTAAACAGAGCATGCATGAGGAAAAATGTGATCCTGCATGCCAGACATGGGCAATGTGGAGTCAACAAGTCATCTCCATGTCATGTATTTAATCTACCTAGCCAATTAACCAGGTGAGTCCAATCTGCACAGGTTAATTCACGGTGAAGATTGGACTCACCTGCTTCAGTGTCTGGGTAGAACAAATACATGACATGGAGATGACTTGTTGACTCCACATTGCCCATGTCTGCTGCTTGCTCTCGCAC